CTCACTGATATGAGGAATTCTTAATCTCAGGAAACAAACTGAGTGTTACTGGAGTGGTTGGGGGTGGGAGGGATGGGGTGGCTGGGTGATAGACATTGGGGAGGGTATGTGCTACGGTGAGCGCTGTGAATTGTGCAAGACTGTTGAATCACAGATCTGTACTTCTGAAACAAATAACGCAACATATTTTAAGAAAAAAGAAAAAGAAGAAGATAACAGGAGAGGAAGAAAAGGGGAGTATGTCAGAGGGGGAGACGAACCATGAGAGATGATGGACTCTGAAAAACAAACTGAGGGTTCTAGAGGGGAGGGGGGAGGGGGATGGGTTATCCTGGTGATGGGTATTGAGGAGGGCACGTTCTGCATGGAGCACTGGGTGTTATGAACAAACAATGAATCATGGAACACTGCACCAAAAACTAATGATGTAATATATGGTGATTAACATAACAATAAAAAAAAATTAAAAAAAAAGAATCAATGGGGCTGGGGCTCAGGAGCTTGTATTTCATCAAGGTCCTCAGTAGATTCCCATGCACATTAAAACTTAAGAAATATTAGGCTGCAAGCCTAGATTTTGGAAGAACTGGGCCTTTAAATTCTGCAGCAACATTAGTCCAGAGCTCCCAGAAAAGCCCTCCTCTTGTCTTGAAGAAAAGAAGGAAAAGTTTCTCTCACTCTTTTCAATGAGCTTACAGCTGAGGAAATAAGATGAAGTTTATTCTCCAGTCAGATCTTCTGGCTCCACGGGGACTGAGTAGAAATCGTAAGGCATCAAAGGTCACTGAGGGAAAAGCTGGCAAAACACACACACACACACACACACACACACTCACAGGAAGAAATACAAACCTCAGATCATCAGCCTGAGCGTTAGCAGTTTTTTATTCTACTGGAGGAGATCCCATTTGTGGTGGAGCTTGCCAAAGTCCAGGTTTTAAGTGGGTCCTCCAAATGGGCAGATGGTGTTACCCACAAATCGATCTCCCTGAGAGCTATTCAGAGCCTTCTGTTAAGGACAACATAAGAATCACTTTAAAAGTTTGAATACCAAACTCACTTCCTTCCTTTTCCTTTCTTGTCTTTCTTTCTCCTCTTCCCCCTGCTCTCCTGACCCAGTTATAATTTAATTTGCTCATATTTTTAGAAAAGTTTTGAGCAACTATGAATCAGCCACTAAGCAGAATGTAAACATTCAGTGTTCAAGTATTTTCATTTGCAAAGGATTAAAAGAACATAAGGGTAATTTGAATCCAAAGGTAATTTTAAAACCCACATGTACTGCACGCATCAATTCCAATCTTGGTTTAGTGCTGCTAAAAGAAATACAAATGGTAAAATTAATTTAGCATCATTAATTTTATTTATATAGGAAAACAAAATATATGCACATATTGAAGTCTCAAATATCCAGATTAGCTGCTTATAAACTCATTTTTTCCTAGTATTTGAAAGAGGTATACCATAAGTGAGTAATGTCTTAACAGCTTTATTTTAATATTTCACTTTAATTTTGTATTTTATTTCATAATACCTCTGGGTTTTAACATAAAAATCCTGCAGAAAAATACTCTGGTGGATCATAGGGGAAGAGAGGTAAAAATGAAACAAGACGAAACCAGAGAGGGAGGCAAACCATAAGAGACTCTTAGTCTCAGGAAACAAACTGAGGGTTGCTGGAGTGGTGGGGGGTGGGAGGGTTGGGGTGGCTGGGTGATAGACATTGGGGAGGGTATGTGCTATGGTGAGAGCTGTGAATTGTGCAAGACTGATGAATCACAGATCTGTACCCCTGAAACAAATAATACATTATATATTAATAAAATATTATCAGACCACAGAAAATAATTAATTAATTAATCTCTAAAAAACCCCCACAAAAACAAAAAAAGATAAATACTGTGGTACAATACACCATATTTTTATGGTGCCTTCACACATGATTCTCTACTACACACCTGATGTGGGACACCTCACTTAATTAAAATAGCAGGGTAAGTACCCGTTCACCTCTTCATTTTTTGGAAGCATCCGTACAACAGTAGGCAAACATTTAATGTGATGTGGTTATTAATCTCTCTTTAGTTACATGAGATGTTATAATTATAACGTTATCCCCCAAAATGATGGCTTCTGATAGAGTTGTCTTCTTTTCCTTTGCAGGGAACATCCCGATATCTATCTTCAAAATGGCCCAAATAGAATTGGAAGGGTCTATAAGAAGGCCCTTTACCTACAGTACACAGACAAAACCTTTACAACAGTTATAGAAAAACCTATCTGGCTGGGGTTTTTAGGCCCTATTATCAAAGCTGAAACTGGAGATAAGGTTTATGTACACTTAAAAAACTTTGCCTCTAGGCCCTACACTTTTCATCCACATGGAATAACATACTATAAGGAACATGAGGGTAAGTTCAGCTCATATTCTAGCTGGAATTTCCTCTTAATTCTCAGTAGGAGTACTTTTTTAACTTCTAAGATTATGGCCTCCCTTCCTGGATAAGATCTATAACTTTGTCGTTTAGCTCTAAACGATTTTATTTATTAAGTATTCTGGTTCATCATAATAATGCTGAGTTTCTCTTGGTTGTGCTTGCTTGTGTGAAGTGTGAACGTGATGGGACTTCAGGGTAGACGAATGGAGTGAGTCAGGGGGAACTGGGACTTCCCTCCCAGCGCCCCCCACCGTGCCAGCCAAAGAGAACGAGAGAACTAGGCAATGGGAATTAAGGCCTAGAAAAGGCAAACGTCCAGAGGGAGGAAACAGGACTTAAGATAAGGATCGTCTCACCTCTGAAGTTCTTACGTGTGAATATACCGTAGCCGCTGTCCCGTCCCATCCTAACTTAGGATACTCTGTCCCGGCTCAGGCAGTCTGGGTAGTCTCCTACATCAGCCAAATGGTACACATGGCTGCATGACCCCAGAGCCACAGCTGAGATACAATTAACCAAAAGGTCATTGGAATGTAGGACTTAGAAAACTTAAAGATGATATAGGAAGAACACAGATTAGGTTTGACGTCTCTGATTCATTTTTAGTATTTGATGACGGTAATGATGATGAAAAGAGGTGGTGTTTTGCTGTGGATAAGAGCAAGGGCTCTGAAAGTAATAGACCAAGTTTCAAGTGCAGCCTTGCCTTTTATTGGCTGCATGATCTTAGGCAAGTTACTTATATTCTCTGTGCTGCAGTGTCCTCATACATAAAAGAAGTACAATAATAGTACATAGTAATAGCTCAGTGAATGTCAGGTATTATCATAAGCGAAAATGAGGAGGCCATGCTAATTGAAATTATAAGGATTAAGTCCAGAAATGAAGATTAAATCAGATTTTTTTAATTATTAGTTTTCTTTTTTAAGAGGTATTGCTTGAGAAGGTGATTGTTTTGACCATATATTTTTGTTTGTTCTTCTGAAACAAACAAATACCTTCATAGCATAGAAGTTGACTGCTGTCTTATTTCTTTTTTTACAATTTCATGTTATATTAGGGCATTACTCATTTTTAAGCTATGGTAGTTATACTGTGTTTCTGTTAAAAGAAAAAAGAGTTCTTATCCCCTAGAGGCACATATTCAAGTATTTATGAATGAAATGAGATGATGCTTTAGAATAATTCAATGGTGATGGAGGTAAGAGTGGTGGGGGTAAGGATGAAACAGGATTGGCCTTGAGCTGATCATTGTTAAAGCTCAGGTGATGGGTACATGGAAGTTCATCATATTATTTTCTCAACTTTTACATGTTTTTGGAAATATCCAAAATTAAAAGTACAAATTTTTAAAAAATCCATAGTTACTTCATGGGCAAAAATTTGATATCATATAAGATGTTTCAAATTGTAAGAGAGAGTAGCCATTTTGCTCATGCTTCCATACCATGACCCCAGAGCAAAAGTGGTTCTTTAAATTGCAAACCAAAAGTCACTATTCTCTATTACTACTCCCTTAAGATTCAGTAAGTATAAAAAATAATAACTAAATTTTCTGTGAGGCTTCCAGACCCCCTAATCATTAGCCTCTCACTCCTTCATTCCTGTCTTTTCAAACAGTACATCACTACGTCCCCAAGGGGGCACATACTAGAAATTGACCAAATGTTTGCTGAAAAAATTAATGGACCATCTATTCTCTCATTTAAGTTCAAATACATTCACTTTGTAACTTTATCGCATATTGCTTCCTAGGGGCCATCTATCCTGATAACACCACAGATTTTTACAAAGCAGATGACAAAGTGTATACAGGCGAACAGTACACATACATATTGGATGCCAGCGAAGACCAAAGTCCTGGTGAGGAAGATAGCAATTGTGTGACCAGGATTTACCATTCCCACATTGATGCTCCAAAAGATATCGCTTCAGGACTCATCGGACCTTTAATAATCTGTAAAAAAGGTAAATTTTTTCATTGTTGATCTCAATGTATGACCAACAAGCAAGAGATGGGGCAGTTTTTTTTTTTTTAATATAAGTCAAGTCTTCTGTGTTATGATTGAGTAGGTAAGGTTGAGAGGGGGTGAATCTAGAAAAAAGGAAAGAAAGAGCAGAGCAGGAAAAGAAGAAGGGATAAATGGAACAAGCATTCACACACATTGGTAAACTGCAAGAAACATGCTTTCCTGGAAGACAGTTTTGCTGTATCTAATTTCCAACAGTGGTGGTTGAAGAGCTGTGTGACTTTACTGAATGTGACTTCCTTAGCGGCACTCCGTGGTGATAGGTCTATAGTTATCTGTATTGTGTTGGTAAATATAAGATCACAGTATCTATTTCTAGCATCATGAAAAAGAAAACATAGCTCAAGAGCTTGAAATCTAATTCTTACTGGAATAATAATTTACCTGCAAAGACTTATTATCTCAGCTTATGGCTGTATGTACCAGAAGATATACACACAACTTTAGATTCCAACCTTCACATTTGCCAAAAAGTATTGAATAGTTATGTGGTCAGTGGACATCCAAATATATAAGGATCTCTAAGCCCAAGATACTGAACATAAAATTTCCTAGTATTTCCATGTCTGTAAAACAGAAGTGACTAATCCAGATTTGTGGTTTATAAGAAAAATAAATCTTTAAAGCTATAAATCACCTGCTAAAAATACACGCTAAAGATTAACTACTACTAAAATAGTAATTTTCACTTCAGATTCTCTGGATAATGAAAAAGAAAAAAATATTGACCAAGAATTTGTGGTGATGTTTTCTGTGGTGGATGAAAATCTCAGCTGGTACCTAGATGACAACATTAAAACCTATTGCTCTGAACCAGAGAAAGTTGACAAAGATGATGAAGACTTCCAGGAGAGTAACAGGATGTATTGTAAGATTATAGAAGATGTGTTAACTTTATCTTATTTTTCTTTATCCATTAAGTCTGCTAGGTTTATCCTTCACATAAATAAGTAGTGTGCGTCTTTATTTTTTTTTTTAAGATTTTTACTTATTTACTTGTCAGAAAGAGAGACAGAGAGAGCACAACCAGGGGGAGTGGCAGGCAGAGAGAGAAGCAGGCTCCCCATTGAGCAAGCAACCCCATGTGGGACTCGATCCCAGGACCCTGAGATCATGACCTGATCTGAAGGCAGACGCTTAACCAACTAAGCCACCCAGGCATCCCTAAGTAATGTGTTTCTAGTCTGGCCTTGATAAGAAGGTATATTAAACATGCAACTTCATATTCAGCTAAACAGATCAAATCAAAACTCTGTGCCTGGTAAAACTGGATATACCAAATTGTTCCCAAACTAATAAGGAGAAAACACCATCAATTATGGTTTAATGTGTATGTATGTTCTATTTATTTATACATTTGTTTATCCTCCAAACTCATTCCAAAAATTATTTGAGGCAGCCTAAAATTATTAAGCTAAATGCTTAAATTATACTTATATCATAAAGCATTGAACTGTATTTAGGAAAATAGTTCAAACCACTAGTTCTAAAAGGTATTTCTCTTACATTTTTCCTCTGCATCATTTTTTTCTATCTTTAATTCACTTTATTTCTTCTAGAAATGCTTTCTTTACTGCCTAGGCTTCTCCTCAATTCTTAATTGTGCCCCCAGACACAAAATAATGAGCTTAGTAAGGTTATCTATCACTCAGAATTTGCATAAGAAATCACATCTCTTAACACCAACTAGACCAGTAAGTATAGATTTTTGTTTGTGTTTAGCTTCTTCAAAATAATCTTTACTCAGAAATTGAGAATACAAAAATAACTACCAAAGCAGAAAAATAATTAACGAAATACAGTTTTTTTTCCCCTTTTACTTATTTCTGGCTAGAAGGTCCTCTTTCTATACTTTAATCCTGCCTCTGTTATGCACTAATCAAAAATAGATGTTAGAAAAAGATCCTCAAACATCTAGTCTGGGTAGGTCTGGTTATACCTCTGTTGTATCAGGTGTATTCATGGTGCTTCCCAGAACCAATTTCCACCTTACTTCTAGGACCACTGAGTGTGAATAGTGATCCTAAGTTTCTTCAAAGGGTCTTAGATCATCCTGCTTTTGGACTTTTAGGGCTTTGTGGTTCTGGTACCAGTCTCTACTATCCTTCCCCTGCATTTCTTCTTTCCTCCTTCACATCTCTTCTAATTTTGTCTTCCGACCCTTAAAAAAGAAAAAAAGAAAGCAAAAGCTTTCCTTGTGTTCTTATTACAAAGGTAATTCATAGTCATTGTAGAAAATTGGCAGAGTTCTGATAAGCAAAAAGAAAGCATTGAAATCATTCATATTGCCACTATCATCATGATACATGATTGATTACTAGATAACCTTCAGTCTTTAAAATTTATGTGTGTACATTTTGTATGTATGTATGTATGTATATATGCATATATATGCATGTATTTACAAATACACATACACATATACACATACTAATGTGTATAGCTTATAACAGAGAGAGAAAACAGGTTTCATCTTTAGTGTTGTGTTCATCTGCTAATGCTGTGTTGACAAAATTCCTGAGGCTGAATTCAGGTCTAAAATAAGAGTGCTGTGATTGATTAGCAATGTCTGATGTGGGTACAGAAGGGAAGAATAGCAGCAGGATGTATGCCAGGTATTTTCCATCCCAAAATCATTCAGTTGCTATAGAGGTGACTATTACTCTCCCAGGCACCAATGTCTGTGAGTCACGATCTCTGCTCTTGGCTTACAGCTGTGAATGGATACGCTTTTGGAAGTCTCCCAGGTCTCTCCATGTGTGCAGAGGACAAAGTCAGATGGTATCTTTTTGGTATGGGTAATGAAGTGGATGTGCACGCAGCTTTCTTCCACGGCCAAGTGTTGACTAATAAGAACTACCGGATTGATACAGTCAATCTCTTTCCTGCTACCCTATTCGAAGCTTTTATGGTGGCCCAGAATCCTGGAGAATGGATGCTTAGCTGTCAGAATCTAAACCACCTGAAAGGTAAGGCATTTTTACCTAAAATGAGCTGTCAGCTGAAATAAGCATCGTGTCTCAGTTACACCACTAATGGGGTGATTATTGGTAATCAGAATGTAAAAGTTAAATATCTTTGGAATAATCTGAGCCTTGAACTGGTAACTTAATTTCATTCCTATGACAGTATGCATCGTAATGTAATAAAAAAGACTGAAAGACTGGAATTTTATAAAGTAATGAAATCTGAAAACATATTAATTTTGGGAAGAGAACAACTGGTTCTGAATGTGTAGTCCTGTCCTAAAAGTATAGTTTTGTATATCACTTCTCAGCTTTGTAAAATACACAATATTGTAAACACCAGAAGATTTGCATGTGGTGTTGAAAAGTAGCTTTTTTTTTTACTTGGTTCCATCAGATATAACTAACTTTGTTCATGGAGTCTAGTTACTCCTTGGTTTAACTTGCTAAGTCCCTCCTCCATCTCTTCAATACAAGAACATTCTTAGTTCTTGAAAAAAATATTAGTTTGTAATATTGATCTCCTGAAGAAATTAACTTTAATCTGGGTCTTTTGGTATGTTAACTCTGACCTTCAAACATAACCTCACCTATTAAATATGACCTTGGCCTCAGAAGACCCAACACGCTGGGTGAATAACCATTTTGATTTTGTCTGAGAACAATAATTATGTATGCTCTTTCCATTCCTTCTCCTCTACTCCACCCTGCCCCTTAAAATATGGCCAAACCCCTCTTCATTAATTATCTATTAATATGTCTTTTTTTTCTCATCAGAAGACCTCCCAAGTGAAACTCCACAGAACTTGGTACCACATTTTTAGAAATACTAGTGTTTAATATCTCTTCTCTGTGCCATATAGAGAAGTTTTACTGCTTGAATTTTCTATCAGTAATTTATTTACAACTGTTTACTATAATTTGTAATATTGTTTTTCACTATTTCTTCAATTTCCATCTGTTATTTCACCAGCAATGTTTATGAGGCAATCAGAGGGAAAAACCATTGGCTGCATTAACTCATGTCTCCTTTCGTGTGGTTTTCAGCTGGTCTCCAAGCCTTTTTCCAGGTACAAGACTGTAACAAGCCTTCATCAGAGGACGATATCCGTGGGAAACATGTTAGACATTACTACATTGCTGCTGAGGAAATCATCTGGAACTATGCGCCTTCTGGAATAGACATCTTCACCAAAAAAAACTTAAGAGCACCTGGAAGGTAATTCAGAAAAAGGACTATTATTTCAAAATAAGACTCCTTAAAGAAAGAAAGAAAGAAAGAAAGAAAGAAAGAAAGAAAGAAAGAAAGAAAGAAAGGAAGGAAGAAAGAAAGAAAGAAAGAAAAAGGCCATAAAAGATGGATTCAGCAATTAACATTTTAATTGGTACCTGAAACTGAGTAACAATACTGCTAAATATTCATTAAGGTGTTTGGTATGAGTCCCAGTTTGAGAAATATGACTTTTGAGTTCATGAAAGAAAATGGTTTTAAAAATTATCAGAGGCTCAACAAATTCCTCAGAAAATACTGAAAACAACTAGACTGATCAATGCATTAGCTTTCCTTTCATGAAAACACAGCAATATACCTTGGCTAATTGAATTAAAAATAAAAATTAATTAATTAATTAAAGAGAAAAGAAAAGAAAATACAGCATTGTGCAATCCAGCAGCGTTAAGTACATTCACAAAGTTGTACCATCATCCACGCTATCCATTTCCAGAACTTTGTCATCATTCTGAATAGAAAGTCTGTATCCATTAAACAGTAGCTTTCCAATCCCTGATAACTTCTACTTTCTGTCTCCATGAATTTGCCTATTCTGGGCACTTAATACAAGGGACATAATGCAGTATTTGTCCTTTTTTGTCTGGCTTATTTCACTTAGCATCATGTTTTCACGGTTCATCCACTTCGTAGCATTCGTTCCTCTTTGAGGCTCAATAATATTCCATTTTATGCATTACCGTGTTTTATTTATCCACCCGTTGATGAAAATTTGGGTTGTTTCCACTTTTTGGCTATTGTGACTAATGCAACTCTGAACATGGAAGGACAAGTATTGTTTACATCCTTGCTTTCAGTTCTTTTGTGTACATACCTAGGAATGGAATTGCTCAGTCATATGACAATTGTATTTTTAATTTTTTGAGGAACAGCCTTACTTTTTTCCACAGTGGCTGTACCATTTTACATTCCCACCAGTAATGTACAAGGGTTCCAATTTCTCCACATCCTTACCAATATTTATTTTCCATTTTTTTATAATAGGCATCTTATTGGGTGTGAAGTTGTATCTTATTGTGGTTTTGACCTGCATTTTCCTAATTAGTGATGTTGAGCATCTTTTCATGTTCTTGTTGGTGATTTGGCGAAATATCTGTTCAAGTCCTTATCCCATTGCTGAATTGGGTTGTTTGTTTTTGTTTCTGCTGGTGGTGGTTGTTAAAGTCTATGACTTCTTTATATATTCTGGATATTAACCTCTTATCAGATATATGGTTTGCAAATATTTTCTCCCATTCTATAGGCTTTCTTTTCACTCTCTTGATAGTGTCCTTTGATTCACAGAAACTACTCCTGTCCATGTCCAGTGACTTCCAGAGCCTCCTAGCCATTCTTCCCTGCTCAGTCTTCCTTTCCTACTGTCCATCCTCCATAAAACACCCAAAGTAAGCTTTCTGAAAATGTTGATGAGATTATGCCACACCCCTGCTTCAAATCTCTACTCAGACCTCACCTACTAAGAGAGCTATTTGCCACCCAGATACTTGGAAAGGTCAAGTAACTTACTCAATGACACACAACTGCTCAATAGCTGGGCCTGTGATTTTCAGCTGGTCTCCAGGCCTTTTTCCAGGTACAAGACTGTAACAAGCCTTCATCAGAGGACGATACCCGTGGGAAACATGTTGGAATCACAGCTGGGTCTGTGATTACTGAAGCAGAAATTTAAGTCCCAGTCTACACTGACATCCAGATGCAATGACTCCAAAGCTGCATCTCAGCCCAGAAGGCTCTTGTAAATTGTAGATTTGCATTTCAAATTGCTTAAGAGACACCCCATTTGGATGAGGCCCTCTAAATCAGTATGTCCAAATCTGAACCTATTGTCTCCCCCCAGATATCTGAGCTTCCTCCTCTCTGTGAATAGTATCACTATGCATCATCAGTCAAGCCCAAAACCTGAGTAACATCCCTGACTCCCCACTTCACCACTCCCTCCTTCCCTCCTTATCAGGTACTGCCTCATTGTATCCTAAATGTCTCCAACAGTTATCTACTTTTCCCCATCGGAGGGATGCTCCTGAATGCTCACATCTTTCAAAGCTTTCCTACTGCTCTGGGATGGAGCACTGAAACTTTAACTAGGTCCTGCTGCACGCTCCCCCCCATCTCCCCAAGTCTCCTTCTCTCTCTTCTGCCTCTTTCTCTCTTGTTTGTCCTTCCCTGTACACTATGCTCCTGTCATATTTTGTAAAACATGCTGTATTCACTCTTTCCTCCAAGCCTTCCATAGGGTATTTCCTCTTTGTAAACACCCTCTCCATTCTCCCCACCACATATACTTCATCTTTTTTAACTTGACTCTCCTCTAGATAATTTTGAAAAATCACTTTCTTTGGAAAGCCTTTGGGGCCTCTTCCCACCACTTCCTCCAAGCCCAGGAGAACTGCTCCATAATGCCCTGTGCTTATTGCATGTTATTATGTTGATCGGTTCATAGTCTGTCTTCTCTGATCGGTGTAAAGTCCTTGTGGACAGGGATGGGTCCAGCTTGCTTATGGTTATGCCATCAACATGTAGCAAGTTTCCTGGCAAAAAGCAGGTGTCCAATACATTCATCAATGGGAGAAGAGATGAATGGAATGACTTTGGCAAGTCAAATGCCTTTCTGAAATTTAATTTCTTCATTTGTAAAATGGGGAGAATAATGCCAACTTTGTTGCCTTATCATGTGAGTTTCAGATAACAAATGAAAGCTCCTAAGTACCTGACTGGTGCTGATATGCAATAAACAGTAGTTACTGTATTTTTAAACGTTTCATAATTTGTTGAAAAGATTCTATTGTAGAACAATTAATAACTATCAGGAGTTGACATGGGCCATCTTACAATTTTTCACTTCACTTGAAAAAGTGAAACCTCCATACCATGATACCCCACTCATTAATTGAACATCCTTCTATGACGTGCCTAGTACCATCTGCTTCCATTTGAATATTTGGCAAATCATAAATAAGAATTACCTTTGAGCACTGGCCATAATTTTGCTCTTAAATTTGTCCTATGTGAATGCCTGCTTTCTGTTCTGCTTTCAACTCCAGTGATAAACCCTTTTTCTTTTGGCAGCGCTTCAGAGGTATTTTTTGAACAGGGTTCTACAAGAATTGGAGGATCTTATAAAAAGCTGGTTTATCGTGAATACACAGATGCTTCCTTCACAAATCAAAAGAAGAGAGGCCCTGAAGAGGAACATCTTGGCCTCCTGGGTAAGTCCATGCAGAATATTTGTGACTGTTGCACCCTTGTCCTGTACTCTTTCTGTCTCAGAAAGAACAGAAACTTCAGGACCCGCAGTATGATTTCGACATAGAAACTAGGGACGTGGAAGGTCATTCAATAACTAAAGGTAGCAGCTAATTACTTTTCCAGTGTAAATTACCAATAGTAAATCTTCATCACTGAAAACTCTGCTGACTTCAAATGATGTTTGTTTTTTTTTTTCTTCAAGAGGTAAGGAGAGGGGCGCCTGGGTGGCTCAGTCGATTAACATCTGCCTTCGGCTCAGGTCATGATCCCAGGGTCCTGGGATGGAGCCCCACATCGGGCTCCCTGCTCAGCGGGGAGTCTGCTTCTCCCTCTCCCTCCTCACTCTTGCTCTCTGTTGCGATTTCTGTCTCTCTCTCAAATAAATAAATAAAATCTTTAAAAAAAAAAAGGTAAGGAGAATTGTGTTTATGGCTTGGTTTAAATAGACAGCAGAGGTGTTAGCCTCTATTCTTAGCTGAATTACATTCCCCTGGAAATAAAATCCAGGCTACTAATGAGGAAGGCTGGGTCAATCTTAGAGCCTTGTGCACAGCCCAGAGACCTGTTCTCACTCAGACCTTCAGACAGAATATAGTGGGTGAGCACACAGAGTCTGGCTTCAGACTAGCCTCACTCCTCACCTATTAGCTGTGTGACCTCTTGAGTACTTAGTTTGCTATGCCTGTTCTCTTTCTGTAAAACGGGAACAATAATAACAGTAACAGTCCTGGGGCACCTGGGCGGCTCAGTCAGTTAAGCGTCTGACTCTTGGTTTCGGCTCAGGTCATGATCTCAGGGCTGTGGAATCCAGCCCTGCATTGGGCTCCCGCTCAGCGGGGAGTCCGCTTCTCTTTCTTTCTCCCTCTGCTCCCCTGCCACGCGTTCTCTCTCTCTCATATAAATAAATAAATCTTTAAAAAAAATAACAATAACAGTCCTTAACTCATAAAGATGCTGTAAGGATTAAAGGAGTTAATACACATAAACACTCAGAAAAGCACATGAGAAGCTCTCAATAAATATCATTTTATATATTCCATAAAATATGTACTATATATCTATGTTTTTATTCTATATTTGGTAACAATATTGATTTTTGTGACGGAAAATCCACAAAAATGTTACTCTTCACATCCAAGACCATTTAACTTACCCTCTTTGGGTGCTCAAGTTTTAACTACCAGCCCCCTGACTCCTGGGACAAATATCACACTTCTGGCCAACAGAAGGCTAGGGTAAGGAGAGTATAGACGCTGGATAGTTTCTTGTCAATGTATAAAGCTGGTGAACCGACTGGGATCAAAATGCTAACAAATTTCCTTAACCTGAAGTTAAATCAAAAAGCCCTTCTTATCTCTTTCTAGCTTTGCCACGTCAAGTTGATACCAGACTTCAAAAAAAAAAAAAAGATGTTCCATTTGCCATAAATAAGATGTTGCTTCCAGCAGTTTCTGCCAAAGGACAAGCCAAACAACTGTCTTATGTGTTCTGTATGTCATATACCAAGGAAGACTAACAATGCTCTCTTTGTCCCTAGGTCCTGTCATTTGGGCAGAGGTAGGAGATACGATCAGAGTCACTTTCCATAACAGAGGAGCATATCCCCTCAGCATTGAGCCAACTGGGGTGAGGGTCAGTAAGAACAACGAGGGCACATACTATACCTCAGTTCACAACCCCCTGAGTGGAAGTGAGTACCACCTTCTGTAACCACACAACATTTAAGAACCCACTGTGCTGGTCAGCCAGGGAAAACTGCCCTGCAAAAACTGAAGGCGGGAACTTCCAAGGAAACCGCTCGTATATCATTCTTAGACAGCACACCAGGAAGCAAGGACACATCTTCTCCTTCCATTTCCAACTGGTGTATGGAATTTTGTCCTTCCTTAATTGGATGATTTTGACAATGCTGGTAGTAACTTATTGGGATTATATCAATTATACATTTCTGGAGTACGACTTGGGTGACTTTTAGATTTGAAAAATGTTCTTGCAATTACAAGATTAGATGCTCATTTTAGAATATTGGAAAAATATAAAAAGGTACAGCCAAAAATATTATCTATGGTTCTATAGATAACCACTATTATATTCTTATATAACCTCCCACTCTTCCATCTGTGTACATATAATATATATTTTGAATGTAGTTGAGAGCATAGTATATACTACTTGTCATTGTGTTTTTGTACTGAGTTTGCTTCCTTAGCATTATAAGCATTTTAATATAACTTTAATAACACAAATATTCCATTTTATGCATGCATTTGGGTACTTTTATATGTCAGGGTGACCGACGAAGATGAGTGCCTTTGCCACCTCTTGCAGTGTGACTGTGGGCAAGTTATTCAGTCTTTCTGGTCTCAGTTTCCCCAAGTATAAAATCAGGATATTTGAACAGGATCATGTGCAGTTTCCTTCTAGTTCTGCAGTTATTTTCAATTCAGTTGTGTTCAATAGAAAATGTATGGATTACCCCCTCTTTTCAGGTGGTGTTCTAGCAAAGGAAATATAGAGACAATGCTTGCTTCAGGAAGGTTACATTCTATTTGTGGGGAAATACACATAATCTAACATGAAAAGTGCTGGGGACATCATCAGGGACTGTGAGAGCAGCCCTGTCTTAGTCTGTTTGGGCTGCTGTAACCCACAGACTGGGTGTCTTATAAACAACAGAAATTTATTTCTCACAGTTTTGGAAACTGAAAGTCCAATATCAGAGGGCCAGCATGGTTGGATGAGGACCCTTTTCTGGGTCTCAGACTTCTTGCTGTGTTCTCACGTGATAGCAGGGGATAGGGAGCTTTGTGGGATCTCTCTTGTAAGGGCACTAATCCCATTTAGGGGAGCCCCAGTCTCATGGTTTAATCACCCCCCAAAGGCCCCACCTTCTAAGACTATCTCATTGGGCATTAGGATTCCAGTATGTGAATTCTAGGAGGACACAAACATTTGGACCGTAGCAGGCACCAACCGCAGACTGGTTAAGAGGAGGCTTCCTGAAGGAAATCACACCCATCCGTGACCTGACACAGGAGCACAAGGGGATGTCATTCAAGTAGGGTTTCATTCTAATTCATAAAAAGGAACTGAGAAATGGGTTGTCTCAGACGAAACTCAGTCCACTTGGTGGTTCAAATGACCACATTAGAAAGCATGCTTAACCTCTCCAATGTGACATTTCTCACAGGTGTGCCTTCTCCTTCAGCTTCACACGTAGCACCCAAACAAACATTCACCTACGAATGGTCTGTCCCCGAAGAAGTGGGACCCACTTACAAAGATCCTGTCTGTCTATCTAAGATGTATTATTCTGCTGTGGATCCCACCAAAGATATATTCACTGGGCTTATCGGGCCAATGAAAATATGCAAGAAAGGAAGTTTACATGCAAATGGGAGACTGGTGAGTCCAATGAGGGAAAATATAAATGATTTCCTGATCCCTTTGAATTATCATTATTATAAGGAAAATTCTGGGTTTTGAGACAGTGAGGATTTAACACACCTACTGTTTATTACAAATTTTTCTCCAGCTCATAAGAGCTCTACTATGCAGAGGTTCTCTGGCTAACATGATTATTTCAAGATGAGTTGGAACAGACTTTCCTTGAAACCCAAGGTCTTTTATGATACATTTAGACTTCAACACACAAATAAAAAATAATTGGTCCCTCAACATTCACTAAGGAAAGTATTGTTTAAAGCATTTTTAGAAAGGAGGAAATGACCATTTGACTAGAAAAGAGAAATACTTAACTCCATCATGTTTTTATCTCTAAGTATTGTAATATGAGCCTTTAAAAGATAAGGGCTCTTTAAAAAAATGCCTTCAATATAATTATCATACCTTAGAATCATCATCATAATAATGTTAGTATCATCAATTTTTAATCAAATTTTATCATCACATTTCCAATTAATGTTTCCCTTTTCCCAGCTGCCTCTTAATTGTTTCAAGTTTGTTGTTTGAATCAGTACCCAAAAAATGACACTCATTGCAACCAGTTGTGTTTCTCAAGGTTATTTCCTTGCGTTTTTCTGTCTCAAGGGTCATCTATCCTATGGAAGTTTCCCACACCTGGATTTACTGTTCGTATTCCTGGGGTGTCATTCAGCAAGAAAGTTTCCTCCTCTTTCTCTCAATTTCCTATAAATGAGTAGCTAGATCTATAGGTCTGATCAAATTCAGGTTAGATTCTTTTTTTCAATACTACTTCATGTGTAGTACTGGGTACTTCTATCAGAGAATATATACTATATAGTTGGGAATGTTGTCAGCCCCTGAGAACCATTTCCCAGATTCATAAACTAATCAGGGATTGCACAATAGTAACATCCTGATCTCATCATTCTTCTTTATTTATTAGCCAGTATACTTCCTTAAACAGAAACTTCCCTTAATGGATTATTTGGTTAGCCTGAGGTACATATTCTATAAGAAAGGAATGACAAATGCTTGATTCTTTCCCTTTATTTACAAATTTTCAAAGTAATAGTTCTCTAACATACTTCAAAGATTCTTAATAATTTATTTTTTTGTTAAGTGCTATTGTGACCTCATGGATTTAAGAATATTTGGTGTGTTTGAATTCATTGACATTATCCCTATTGATGCCCCAAATATCTTACCTATTTTTTGCTACTAAGAGGATTTGTTCAGGTTGATTCCTTCATTTTTACATGAACTTGATAGTCTTTGAAGCTTCCTTGACTTTTGGTATAAAAAGCTATTTTAAGTTCATATTACACACTTTTTGAGCCAGACCTGAAATCAGCCATTTCTCCCAAGAAGCCCTAGTTCTTTTCAGGAAGAAATTATTTTTAGAACAACAGTCTGGGCACTATGGGTACTCACTCATTTCTATTGGCTTCATCATTGCTTCTAGGCCTTTTCAATGGACAGAACTGGAGAAGGAAATTTTTTAAGATAAAATTAATCATGAGTTCATACTGATACCTTCCATTCAAAGTCAGGTCTAAGGATTCTTATTGTTTTTTACTTAACTTTATTAATCTTACATCTGTATCTCCCTTCAGCTACACTGAAAAATCTTAGTTCTCAATGATACCAACATAAACATTCACTCAATTCATCACACAACATACATACAACAGCCTCAGAATCACAATTATAACACTACAGCCAGCAATATAATTACTGAAAACAATTTAAGATTTGTTGGCAGCCCTTTTTGTCCTTAGAATAGATCCCACTAGGGATGTTCAGTCAAATTACAAAGTTAAAGTCACTGGGAATAGTTCCTCTCTGTGTAGTTTTGCCACCCCCCAGATACACAGGTTTATTTAATTAATTTTATTTCTATTTCTTTTAGGGATTGCCTTTAAAATTGTAATATTATTTTATAATAATGTAAAATATTTACCTGGTTCCAACATCAAATCTACAAAAAGAGGCATATTCAAAGAAGTCTAGCTCCTATCCTTTCTCCCCTGTCACCTATTCCCTTACTACCAGCACCTTTCATTTTTAGCTTTACAGTTTATTTTTAATTTTTTTCATTATTATTTTTGTCAACTTAATTTTTCTGAGCACTTTAAGGTTGACAGCAAAATTAAGAAGAAAGTAGAGATTTCCCATATATCCTCTACCACCCACCCCCCACCCCCTTCCACCCCCCACCCCCGCTCCTCCCAGCCTCTCCCAATATCAACATTTCCAACAGAGGGGTGCATGTGTTACAACTGATGAATCTACACTGACAGATTGTTATCATCCAAAGTCCATAGTTTACACTAGGGTTCACTCTTGGTGTTTACATTCTATGGGTGTAGACAAATGTATAATGAAAGTATCCACCATTATGGTATCATATAGAATATTTTCACTGCCCTAAAAATCCTGTGTTCCACCGGTTTATCCCCTACTCCCCTAACCCCCAGTAACCACTGGTCTTTTTAATGTTTTATAGTTTTGCCTTTTTTCCAGAATGTTTTATAGTTAGAATCATACAGTATGTAACCTTTTCAGACTGGCCTCTTTCACTTGGTAATACACATTTAAGTTTCCTCCAAGTCTTTTCACGGCTCAATAGTTCATTCTTTTTTAGTGCTGAATCATGTTCCATTGTCTGAATGTAGCAAATTGCTTATCCATTCACCTACTGGAGAACATCTTGGTTACTTCCAAGTTTTGGCAGTTATGCATAAAGCTGCCATAAGTATCCACGTGCAGAGTTTTGTGTAGACATAAGTTTTCAGCCCCTTTGGGTAAATACCAAGGAGAACAATTGCTAGACTGTATGGTAAAAGTGTATTTCATTTGTAAGAGAACACCAAACTGTCTTCCAAAATGGCTATACCATTTTGTATTCCCATTAGAAATGAACAGGAGGTCCTGTTGTTCCACATCTTTGCCAGCATCTGGTGTGGTCAGTGTTCCAGATTTTGGTCATTCTGATTGGTGTGTAGTGGTACCCCACGGTTGTTTTAATGTGCATTTCCCTAATGATATATGAAGTGGAACATCTTTTCATATGCTTGTTTTCCATCTGTGTATCTTCTTTGGTGAGGTGTCTGCTAAGATCTTTGCCTATAGGTTAATTGTGTTGTTTGTTTTCTTAATGTTGAGTTTTAAAAGTTCTTTAGTATTTTATTTTTTTTTTAAGATTCTATTTATTTATTAATGAGAGACAGAGAGAGAGGGAGGCAGAGGGAGAAGCAGGCTCCCAAGGAGCAGGGAGCCTGATGCGGCACTCGATCCCAGGACCCTGGGATCATGACCTGAGCTGAAGGCAAGACGCTTAAACATCTGAGCCACCCAGGCGCCCAGTTCTTTAGTATTTTAGATAACAGTTCTTTATCAGATGTCTTTTGCAAATATTCTCTCCCATTCTGTGGATTGTCTTCTCACTTCTCTGGACATTAACTTCTATAGAGCATAAACTGTAATTTTAATGAAATCCAGCTTATCAATTATTTCTTTTATAGGTTGTGTCTTTGGTGCGTATCTAAAAAGTTATCACCGAGGTCATCTGGATTTTTCTTATGTTATCTTTTAGGAGCTTTATTTATTTTACGTTTATTTTATTTATTTTACATTTAGGTTTGTGATCCATTTTGAGTTAATTTTTGTGAAGAGTGTAAAATCTGTGTCTAGATTCATTTTTTTGCATGTAAACGTCCAGTTGTTATGTCACCATTTGCTGAAAAGACTATCTTTGTTCCACTGTATTGCCTTTGCTCCTTTGTCAGAGATCAGTTGACTTAATTCATGTGAATCTACTTCTGGTCTCTCGATTCTTCCTGTTGATCTATTGGTCTATTCTTTTGCCAATGCCATAGTGTCTTGATTGCTGTAGTGTTGTAGTAATTTTTGAAGTTGGGAAATAGTCTTCCAACCTTGTTCTTCTTCAATAATATTTTGGCTATTCTGGGCCTTTTGCCAATCCATATAAACTTTAGAATCACTTTGTTGATAACCACAAATAATTTTCTGAGTTTTTTATTGGGATTGCATTGAATCTATAGATCGAATTGGGAAGAACTGACAACTTGGCAATATTGAGTCTTCCTATCCACGAACATGGAATTTCTATTTAGGGTAATGGGATAGTGAACAGAAATCCTAGTTTAGATAAGGTGGATGTAATATTTGAGGTGAGATCTAAATTTTAAGGAGGAAGCCTTGCAAAGATCTGGGGGAAAGGGGAGGGACTAGCTAGTGCCAAAATGTATAATTTTATTTAAAATTTTTATTTAAAAATTTATTTAAAAATATTATTTAAAAAATTATTTTATATCTTTTCTCCTTTGACCTGTAGGCATGACCAAAGACATTAAGTATTTCCTAATGTTGAACCAGTCTTGCACTTCTGGGGAAAAATGTTACTTGAACGCCGTGGGGTTTTTTTGTTTGTTTTCAAATTTTTATTTAAATTCTAGTTAGTGAACGTACAGGGCAATATTGGTTTCAGGAGTAGAATTCAGTGGTTCATCACTTACCACAACACTCAGTGCTCATCACAAGTGCCCCCCTTAATACTTATCACCCATCTAGCCAATCCCCCACCCACCTCCCTCCAGCAACTCTCAGTTTGTTCTCTATCATTAAGAGTCTCTTATGGTTCGATTCCATCTCTATCCCCCCAATATGTTCATATGGTTTGTTTCTTAAATTCCACATATGAGGAAGTCATATAGTATTTGTCTTTCTCTGACTGACTTATTTCGCTTAGCATAATACACTCTAGCTCTATCCACGTCATTGCAAATGGCAGGATTTCATTCTTTTTAATGGCTGAGTAATATTCTGATATAGGTCTATCTATCTATCTATCTATCTATCTATCTATCTATCTATCTATCTATCATCTATCACTTATTCTTTATCCATTCATTAGTTGATGGACATTTGGGCTCTTTCCATAGTTTGTCTATCATTGATAATGCTGCTATAAACTTCGGGGTGCATGTACCCCTTTGAATCTGTATTTTTGTATCTTTTGGGTAAATAACTAATAGTGCAATTGCTGGATCATAGGGCAATTCTTCTTTTAACTTTTTGAGAAATCTCCATTCTGTTCTCCAGAGTGGCTGCTCTAGTTTGCATTCCCACCAACAGTGTAGGAGGGTTCCCCTTTCTCTGCGTCCTTGCCAACACCAGTTGTGTCTTGTGTTGTTGATTTTAGCCATTCTGACAGGTGTGAGGTGATATCTCATGGTGGTTTTGATTTGTATTTCCCTGATGATGCGTGATGTTAAGCATTTTTCATGTGTCCGTTGGCCATTTGTATGTCTTCTTTGGAGAAATGACTATTCATGTCTTCTGCCCATTTCTTAACTGGATTATTTGTTTTTTGGGTGTTGAGTTTGATAACTTCTTTATAGATTTATCAGATATGTCATTTCCAAATATCTTCTCCCATTCTGTAGTTTGCCTTTTAGTTTTGTTGATTGTTTCCTTCACTGTGCAGAAACTTTTTATCTTGATGAAGTCCCAATAGTTCATGTTTACTTTTGTTTCCCTTGCCTCCAACAACGTGTCTAGTAAGAAGTTGCTGCAGCCAATGTCAAAGAGGTTGCTGCCTGTGATCTCTTCTAGGATTTTGATGGTTTCCTGTCTCACACTTAGGTCTTTCATCATTTTGAATTTATTTTTGTATATGATGTAAGAAACATTCATTCTTCTGCATGTTGCTGTTCAGTTTTCCCTTCCCAAGACCATTTGTTGAAGAGACTGTCTTTTCTCCAATGGATATTCTTTCCTGCTTTGTCGAAGATTAGTTGACCGTATAGCTGTGGGTCCAATTCTGGGTTTTCTATTTTGTTCTATTGACCTGTGTGTCTGTTTTTATGCCAGTATAGTACTGTCTTGATGACTACAGCTTTGTAATAACAGCTTTAAGTCTGGAATTGTGTTGCCTCCAGCTTTGCTTTTCTAGATCAGGATTGCTTTAGCTATTTGGGGTCTTTAGGGGTTCCATACAAATTTTAGGATTATTTGTTCTAGCTCTGTGAAAAATGCTGGTGGTATGAGCACTGTGGTTTTTTAAAATATTTTTTCACTTATATTTGTGTATTGAATTTGATAGTGTTTTATTTAGAATTTCTCACATAGGCTGTAAGTTATATTATTTTAGATTCTGTGTGCTTTCTTAGGTCTTATATCATAGTTACACTATCTTCATTAAATAAATTGGGAAGAGTTCCATGTTTTGAATACTCTGGAACTGTTTAAATAAGTAGGAATTATCTGCTCCTTAGAGATTTGAAAGAAATTGCCTGTAAAATTATTTCAACAGTGTGACTTTTAAAAAGAAGTAGTTAGGGGTTTTACTTTTTCTTTTTTCTTTTTTGTCTATTAAAATATTTTTAATCACATTTTATTTCACCTATGGATATTGGTCTATTTAGTTACCTCCTTATAAGTCAACTTAGAAGAATTATTATTATTGTACATAATGATCTTTTTTTCCTTCCCCATATATGTGGTTATATTCCTTTCTCAGTTCTATTGTGTTATATTTGGGTTATCTCTCATTTTTCTTTTATTAGACTTGCCAGAGATTTGTGTATTTCATTGGTCTTTTCTTTTTTTTTAAGATTTATTTATTTATTTGAAAGAGCGAGAATGAGAGAGAGAGTACATGAGAGATGAGAGGGGGGAGGGTTAGAGAGAGAAGCAGGCTCCCCACTGAGCAGGGATCCTGATGTGGGACTCGATCTGGGGACTCCAGGATCATGATCTGAGCCGAAGGCAGTCGCTTAACCAACTGAGCCACCCAGGCGCCACTCATTGGTCTTTTCAAATAATAAATTTTTAGGTTTAACCATTTTAATCTGTGCTCTAATTTATTAAAAAGTTCCTCTTTTGCCTTTATTAATTTCTTTCTCCTTTTTTTTATTTTACTTTTCTAAAATTTTCAGATATTTACAAACATTTATTTTTATTTGGTTTTACTTAAAATAAAAAGTATTTCTGGGGCACCTGGGTGACTCAGTTGGCTAAACAGCCAACTCTTGATTTCAACTCAGGTCATGATATCAGGGTCATGAGACCAAGCCTCAAGTCAGGCTCTACACTGGGAGTGCAACCTGCTTAAGATTCTCTCTCCTTCTGCTTCTCCCCTCCCCCCACCCCTGTGCACATGTGTGTGTTGAGCTCTCTCTCTGTAAAAAAATTAAAAAATAAAAGTATTTCAGACTCTCAGTTTATATGTTTAGTGTATTCCATACATTATGCCTTGTTGTCATGGACGTTGCTTACTAAATACTTAGTAATTCATGTTTGCTTCCTCTCTAAGAGTTATTAGGATCAAATATGATCTTCCTTTATTAGTACTTTTTAGTTTTGTTGCATTATGATCAGAAAATATGACCTGTAAACTTTTCACTGAAGTTTTCTCTATAGATCAGAATACAAGTGACTGTAGCAGTCCTCTATTATAATCCCTACACATGTGAGAATGTATTTTTGTTGTTCTTTGCTAGGTATAGAATTTTTTATCGTAATCTTTTCCCCTCAAAAACATAAATGCTACTCCATCTTCTTCTGATATTTATTGTACTACAGAAGTCCAATGTTTGTGATAACACTTTTAGAATGACTTATTGTAGAGATTTGTCTATGTCTGAATCTGAAAAATTTTGCCAGAATATTTTTAAGCATAGATCTCTATGACTACTTTTACCTTGTTTTCAGTGAAGCTTTTGAATCTAAATTTTCTCTTCATGGTGGTAAATATTTCCATTATTATTTATTATCATTATGTTTTCCCCTTTTATAATTTCTCTTTTTCTGAAATCATTACTGTGTACATATTTTTCATCTTTGAATCTTTTCTTCTGATTTAGGGGAGCTTTCTTAAAATTATCTCCATCACAGCGGCTCCTGGGTGGTATAGTCAGGTAATTGTCAGATTCTTGGTTTCAGCTCAGGTCATGATCTCAGGGTCATGGGATCAAGTCCTGCATCAGACTCCATGCTCAGCGCAGAGTCTGCTTGAGACTCTCTTTCCCTCTGTCCCTCCCTCTGCTGTCTCTCTCTAATAAATAAATTTTTCAAAAAATTATCTCCATCACTGATTCAGTTTTCAATAGGATCTAACCTTCAGGTCTCTGCTTTTGTTGGATTTTAAAAATTTGATAATATTTTTCTTCTGAAAGAAAAATCTATCTCAGAAAAAAGACATGCAATAATCTCTAAACTTTTCTTTGAGGGAGGATCTAGTTTTCAGGGGCTCATATGCTTTGATTTCTTAGACTGATTGCCTTCTTCTGAACTACTGAAACATTTCAGTAGACCAGACAGCATCTCTGCTTGCTTATGTTTCACCAGGGACGGGGGACAGGAAGTGAGAATGTTTGTCCAGATGACTGGCAGGAAGGTGGGGAGAGGAGTCAGAACTTGTAGGTGCTGAGAGAGACTTAGATCATGTTGAACCAAAAACCTACTACACAGATAGTAATGAAAACTCTGGTAACCAACTGGGCTATTTCATGAGACCCATCTACAAAGAGGAATGGAAAGTTCTTACCCTTCCTTTGGTGAGTTTGTGCCCAAATAGTATTGTGTGCATGGAAGTCTTTCTACTTCACTTATCCTATCTTCACCTCATTGTTCTTGTTTTGATTTACAGAAAGATGTAGACAAGGAGTTCTACCTGTTTCCCACAGTGTTTGATGAGAATGAAAGTTTACTCCTGGATGAGAATATTAGAATGTTTACAACTGCACCTCATCTGGTGAATAAGGAAGATGAAGACTTTCAGGAATCTAATAAGATGCACTGTAAGTATACACCATCTGCCAATATTAAGTTACTCCAGTACTGCTCATGTAATGCTTTTAATGAAACCAAAATGCTAATAGCTTTGCCCATTGATTAATTTTCAACAAACGATTAAATACAACTCTGAGGGTAATATTGATATTTAAGGTATCAGTCAATTATTCTTCATTTTGCTTAATCTAGAATAATAAAACATATAAAATATATCAATTAGATGCATGGTCCTTAAAATGTTGTCCCTGGATCAGCAGCTTTAGCATGACACAGGGACTTGTTAGAAATGCAAATTCTTGGGCCCCAACTCCTACCTACTGAACCAGAAACTTTATGGGTGGGGCCAGCAATCTCTATTTAACAAACCCTCTACGTCAGGTGATATATGCGTAAGTTTGAGAACTACTGGATTAGATGCTATTCTCTGTGGTTTAATAGCGACAGCCTCATTTTATTATTCAAAATGAAGAAAGATGTTCTCTGTCGTCAATGAACTTCAATGATTCTCACCCTTGACTACAAATTAGAATCCCCTGGGTGTCTTGTTAAAACTGCTAAAACTATTTTTTAAATGCTCAGGGCAACCTCCAGAAATTTTTATTTAATTGAACCCGAGCATCAGATTTTCTCTTTTGTTTCCAGTGTAATTCCAGAGGTTTAGAGACAGTGAGCTAATTGTTCAAAATACCCACACTGCTAATGGACTGCATGTGAAAATCACTGTAGTAAGAGGAAACAAATGTAAAGTTGTGTTACAAACTGATGTTGTTTTTTAATTGAATCAATACTAGTAACAATCATGGTAACATTCCTTTTGAGTTTGCATTTTTTACATTTTGGAGAAGTCAAGACTATTACCTATTAGTAACAGCAGTGAGAGAAAACTTCCTGCATTCACTCCTCCCCATGATTCATGATGAATTGGAGAGTTTTCCATCCAGAGCAACAAACATGTGTCCAGTCTACAGTGCCCAGGAATAACTGTTATTATTCATTCATTTGGGTGCTCATAAATCTGACTCTTGAGAGAACTAAGAAGTGGCTAGTCCGCTTCCAGCCAGGGACTGCTCTGGGGGTGCTGGGTACAGCAGAGACACTCCTGACAAAGGGGAGGGGAAGGCATGAACGGGTCTTTCAAAAATTAGATCAACAAAGTTGGTTCTGGAAAATCTGGGAGGTTGTCATGTAGGAGGAGAGATGATAAACCACTTTCAAAATACCATTTCCCAACTTTTACAGCCATGAATGGATTCATGTACGGGAATCAGCCTGGTCTCAACATGTGCAAAGGAGATTCAGTCATGTGGTACTTATTCAGTGCTGGAAATGAGGCTGATGTACATGGGATTTACTTTACCGGAAACACATATCTGTCACGAGGAGAAAGAAGAGACACAGCAAACCTCTTCCCTCAAGCAAGTGTTACACTCCTCATGCAGCCTGATGCTGAAGGTGCATTTCTTTAAAGTCAAGACAAGTCTCCATTGAATGGATTCATGTCATTTTGGTTAGAAATTCTAATGCAGGGAGACAGACAAGCAAGTATACATACATATATATATATATATATATATATATATATATATATATACATATATATATAGTGGTTATAAGTACTATAAAGGAAAACAGGGCAGGAAAAGGGGCTGGAAACTGATGGGGGAAGGTGGGTAACAATTCTCTGAGATGGTGACAATTAACAAGAAGCTTGAATAAAGTGAGGACATGAGCTATGTAGCTATTCTGGGGAGGAGTGTTCCAGGCAGAGGAAACAGCAAGGGCAAAGGCCCTGAGGCAGGCACACACTTGACCTGTTCTAAGAACAGCAAAGAAGCCTCTGTGATTGGAGCAGAGTGAGTGGTAGCTGATGTGATCATCCAGGTGAGCCACGTTAAGGACTTGGGTGTTGATTCTGAGTGAGTTGAGGAGCCATAGAAGGTGCTGAGCAAAGGAGTGATGTGCTTTCTTATTTACCATCCCAGGGACTTTTGAAGTTGAATGCCTGACAACCGATCACTACACAGGAGGCATGAAGCAAAAGTACACGGTGAACAAATGCAAGCAAGAGTCTGATGATCCAAGCTTCTACCTGGCAGAGAGGACCTACTACATCGCAGCAGTGGAGATGGAATGGGATTATTCCCCAAGCAGGGAATGGGAACGGGAGCTGCATCTCCTACAAGAACAAAAGTAATTCTCCAGACTCTGATTCCCAGTTTTTGTTTGTTTGGTTTTTTTTTTTAGTTTTCTCTTTCAGAGAATTAAGAATTATGCTAAATTTTAGAAAAACAAACAGTTGCATTAAACAGTAACAATGGAACAATAACAAAATGCTTCCCAGGAACCTCTCCTCATTAATTTCTGTTCTCGCAATTTTCTCACAGGAAAATTTCCATCTGTCTCATTTGATTCTTTGTAGTCACTCATCTTCCTTTCTTTTCTGTTGGATTGTCTTCTTATATTCACGTGCCCTATCTTGCTATTGACTTTCAAACTTGAACAAAAATTAATGCCTAAATTCAAAGCTAAAATATTATTTTCCTTATCAGCCATTTGCTGCTTCTCTTATTTTTCCTCCAGAGAGTTCCTTATCAGTTCAGTAATCTGTTCTTTCATATTCTTAAATCTATTATGTGTGAAGAATATTTTAAATTCTTGAGAGTAGGAATGCCTGGGTGGCTCAGTTGGTTAAGCGTCTGCCTTCAGCTCAGGTCATGATCCCAGGATCCTGGGAACGAGTCCCGCATTGGGTTCCCTACTCAGCAGGGAGCCTGCTTCTGTCTCTGCCTGCCGCTCCCCCTGCTTTACTCTCTCTCTGACAAATAAATAAATAAAATCTTTAAAAAGAAAATTCTTGAGGGCAGTATAGTAGACATGGTCTCTGTTCTCTAAGAACTTATAGGAAAATACACTTCAAAACCACCAATAACGTGGACATTATGGAAATGTAAAAAATAAGTTCATTGTGAATAAGTATAAGTAAAGCATCATTGTTGAAGCTTCAGATACTGCATGTAAAGCAGTATCACCAGAGACTTCTTGAAGACTTTTCCAACCACTTTGCCCTCTATCATTTCACATGTCCCACACTAACCTTTCATGGATAGGATCTGAGAGATCAGGATGGACATGTGTTCAGATCTGGGGTGCACAACATCTCTGGTAACCTACAGCTAAGCAAAGCTTAGCTGGTTAGTTTGACTTCGATGGGAAGTATGATTTGTAGTATAAAGGAGTAAAAGGTTATTTTAAGAGGGGGTGGGGGGTAAAATAGTCAACAGATTACAAGAGCTGGGACACCTGGGTGGCTTGGTTGGTTGAGCAGCCAACTCTTGATTTTGGCTCAGGTCATGATCTCAGGGTCCTGGGATCGAGACCCACTTCGAGCTCCATGCTCTGTGGGGAGTCTCTGGGATTCTCTCTCTCCCTCTCCCTCTGTCCCTTTCCCTGCTTGCAATCTCTTTCTCTCTCTCTAAAATAAATAAATAAAAATCTTTAAGAGGAAAAGAAAAATGTACAGGGGCCATGAGGAGTCATTGCAAACTTAAGATAAAGGGAGTGGCTGAAAACACTGGGCCATTTCGGCTCTTATAAACCAGAAACACTGCAGGAATCAGAGAACACTTCATCGATGAAATCTGGGCTCAGAATTTTAGGGCTATAGAGAAACTTTAGAGATCATCTCATCTCATACTTCATTTTGGGGGTGAGGAAACTGAGGATCCACCAGGCAATGACTAGCTGGAGGTCATTTTAGCTAGTGCCAGTCAGCACAGGTGTCGGATGGCTTCACTCCCAGAAAGGAGCACTTTCTACCAGGTCTATCTATTTCTAAAGTCTTATTCTTTCTTGCTGGAAATCAATAGAATGCTATTAAAAATCAGCATAATTACTTGAGTGAAAACTATATTTTTATTCAAAATTTAAAACTCAATTTCCACTTTCATTAAGATAAGTACTAACCTTAGTTGTGTGTGTGTTTTGTTGAAGTGTTTCGAATGCATTTTTAGATAAGGAAGAGTTTTACATAGGCTCCAAGTACAAGAAGGTTGCATATCGGCAATACACCGACAGCACGTTCAGAGTTCCCGTGGAGAGAAAGGCTGAAGAAGAACATCTGGGCATTCTAGGTACGCTAATCATCGGGTGTGGGGTAGTGATGTGGGGCTATGTGCAGTGAGAGTACATGTCCAAGGGTTTAATTCCCCAGTTCATAGTCAAAGGTATTCAAATAAAAATAAAAGTTATGCAATAAAAACGAGAAGCCTGTGTTTACTGAAGAATATGACCAAAATATTGCTTATTTTTCTCAGAAACAATGTATTATCACACATACTAATGAAATTGTATGTATTTGGTGTTCATCAAATCGATGCCTGTCGTTTCGGTGAAATTCCTAGAAATTAGTTCTGATGAAAATCTTCACCAAATTCTCCCTGTTATTCCACCTTTCTCCCGGCTCCCGAATCATAGCTATTTGCTTTTAAAATTGCCATCTAGTGATTAACTCCAAGAGAAAAAAAGGTACACATAGACAAGGAAATAAAGAAAGAAAAAAGTGTTACCATACACAAGGCATGGGAAAAGTTGCTTTCGATTTTTCAGGAATCCTTTTAAGAGAGAATGTCTAAGAACCTGACCAACAGTGGTCTTGGGAATTTTCTTGAAAATCATCAAGTGCAGGGGACTTCCCTCCCAACCTCCCTATATTTCCATACTAACAGAATACCTTGGTGTGTGTTATCCTCAGCCCCTGAAATAAGACACCCAAGGGGGAATGGCATTGTTGCTGGGTTGTAGAAATTCTTAGCAGCAGACAAGCTAAAATTGGCTAGAGAAGAAGGTAGAAATGGGAGGGGTGGCCCCACCCACCCTTCCAAATGCCACAAATTCACACTCAGGAAGGCCTGGAAGTCCAAATGCAGAGAAATGAGAGCAAGTGCTACCCAATGACTCTTGGCCAGGGTAGGGTCACTGCTGACTCATCAGGATTAGGTCATTGCCCTGCAGGGCACTTTCAGGCCAAAACCTCCCATAGGACTCTTGATGAGAGATACACCCCTGGTTTCCATTTATAGAGACAACCATTCCTCATACTTTTATTCTGAATCCTCCGAGACCGGGTATAAATCCAAGAGTAGTATAGTATGAAGCACACACACTCCTGCCTTCATGCTAAGAAAGTTACCTGATCTTTGCTTCTATTACTGAGTTAGAACTTCTCATCCAATAGGTATATAAACCACTCTTCTTTTTTGCTCTTCCAGGTCCACAACTCCATGCAGACGTTGGAGACATAGTTAAAATTATCTTTAAAAACATGGCCACAAGGCCCTACTCAATACATGCCCATGGGGTGAAAACAGAGAGTTCTACAGTTACTCCAACTTTACCAGGTACTTATGGTGGGGCAGGATGGAGAGGGGGTTGGTATTTTAATAGACTTTACAGGCTTTCCACAAATGACTGTTATCAGAGACATATTCCTTCCAAATGAGTGTCTTAAGGAAGTGAAGAAGGAAGTGGTTAAGATGGTTAAGGTGCCTGGGTGGCTCAGTTGGTTGAGTCTGCCTTCAGTTCTGGTCATGATCTCAGGGTCCTGGGACTGGCCCTTATGTTGGGCTCCCTGCTCAGGGGGGAGTCTGCTTCTCCCTCCTCCTCTGCCACTCACCCCCAGCTTGCACTCTCTCTCTCTGTCTCAAATAAATAAATAAAATCTTAAAAAAATAAAAGAGGCATGCAAGGAGGTATATCTGTGTATATTTCTCTATGCACAAATAAGGAAAGGAAAGGGAAGGGAAGGGAGAAGGAGAGAGAGGGCGAGAAAGAGAGAGAGACCCACAGGAGAACTGTAAGGAAAACATCTGCGAGTACTGGACATATACAAATACTCAAGATGGAGTGAGCAGAGATGATCTCTCCATGCCCAGACAACATTTACCGCACATTGTGTGTGGTTGAATGTTTCCATGACTGTAGCTGAAGGCAGGGTCCTAAGGGCAGAGACTGCCACGTGGAATTTTAAATCCCCCAATTCTAGCCCAGTATCTGGCATGTACTAGAAACTCAGTAACTTCAATTAACACAGTGCAAAAGCTGGAAGAGGTTAAATACACGTGTGTGTTTCCTTTAATTAAAACTATATTTTTCTTCTATTAGTTGGAAAGTTGGCTTCTAGGAAAGCACCATTTATTAGTAATTTAGCAGTTCCCCAATATGGCAATTGAGAAAAAATGGGTGAGAAAAAATAAATTACGCCATAAAGTTGCTCGTGTCAATTCAGGGCATTAGAAATAAAAAGCCCTGCCCTTGTGACTCACATTCTTCCAAAAGAGATAAACAAATTACATAGTATTAATTTATAAACAGTCCTGTGAAAAAGATTAAAGCAGATGAGAGAGAGGAAGTAACAAGAGTGCTATTTTAGGTAGGGTGATCAGGAGGGCTTCTTTGAGGAGGTGCCACTTGTGAAGACACCTAAATAGTAAGTCATGAGCCACAGGGAGTTACGGGGGAAGAGCACTGCAGGCCTGGAAATGGGAACAGCAAAGAGGCCAGAGGCCAGAGCAGAGCAAACAGGGGACAGAATGTGAGATGAGATCCAGGGAGGGCAGGGGGCTGGATGCAGTAGGAGGAAAGGGAACCCTCGAGGCCATGGTTAGAACCTTACATTTTATACTCTTAACCAAGCTGGAGGTTTATGATCTGAGGAACACTTTATAAAGGCCTCTTCTGGTTGACGTGTGGGTAAGTGACTGCAGAAACAGGTTAGAATCAAGGAACAGTTAGAGGACTATTGCAATAATCTGGGTTAAAAAAATGAGACGTGGACCAGGGTAGAAGCAGCTGGTCTTTTGGTGGTAAATTGTCATATCCTGGTTGTATTTTAAAGGTGGTGCTAACAATCCCTGCTGAAAGATCAGGCATTAGGGAACGTTAGGGAAGGAGGAGTCAAGGACAGCGCCAGGGTTTTGGACATCCACCATGGGTGGCAGAGCAGGTGGGGGAATGGAGAAGAGAAGGAAACATTATTTTTTGGCTTATGAGATGAAGAGTGTAGATGAAGAGATGATATGTTCAGGTGGTGAATCTATGCTTTATATTCTCAGTGAAAGATTCTGCTTAGAAAAAGGGTGACAGTGTAGGGGTGGGGGACTTGAGGAAAAAGGAAAAAGTCTACCACATCCCTTGAGACCATCCCTCCTGTCCTGCTTGATTCCCTAGAAAAGGTTTGTCAGAGTCTGGCTAACGAAAGTCTGACAGCATATGTAACAGTGAGGTCTACATAAATGGAGTGGATGGTGAGTGGCCACAGCTAAAAGTCAAGGTCTGGTGAGCTGCTGGACAGGAAATCCTGAGGTGACTGGAAGCAGAGATCAGCCCGGGGAAGAGCCCAGAGCACATGGAAGAGGGTCAAGGCCTTGGCAAGTTAGGAGGGTAGAGCAACTGGCTACCTTCAAAGTGTCAAGGTCCAGGGTGTGACAGTGTCCTGTATGTGACAGAGCTGGGACAGAACAGCGTATGGTATGACAGAATGGGACAGACCCAAGAAGAGGTCATTGTGACAAGTCAGTGACCCAGGAGATCCCAAGAGCTAATGGTTCCTCACCAGGAATTCTGGAATCACTAGGGATAATGGTAAAAAAGGAGAAAAGGAAGGCCAAGTTGAGGCCAAGGGAATGACACAGGGCATGCAGGTACAAACACAGAGAAGGCTTGGGGAAGGTGCTCACATTGGGAGAAATCACTTGACGGTTGAAAACAGTGTTTTACAGAAACAGACTTCAAGCTAAAAAAAGATCTGTTACAAAGTTCCTTCAAATTGTGATATTGGTATTGCCACATCCTGGCTTGGTGGTATTGCATGTGTGTGTCGTGGTTAGTTAATTCATAACTGACAAAGAAGATCTAAAAGTATGTCTTACAGTTTATCTTAACACTAAATCCCTGAAAACAATTTTGAGTGCTACTACTTTTTAATACTAATTACCTTGACATTTCCAGTTTCTAGGTCACTGGTTATCAAGACTTAGTGTGTTGTCTGTGTGTGTATCTCAAATATATACCAAATATAACCAGATACATTAACACTTGATTTATTTAGGTGAAAGTCACACTTACATATGGAAGATCCCAGATAGATCTGGACCTGGAATAGAGGATTCTGCTTGTATTCCATGGGCCTACTATTCAACTGTGGATCAAGTTAAGGTAAACTTTAAATCATTTGTTTTGTGAAAATCCCCAAATTAGACACGTAGTTGAAGGAAGATGAGATTAGAGTTTTCCTGTGATCCAATTCTATCTTAAAATCCCAGGAAAGGAAGCTTCTCTACAATTCACTTTGGTTTCATTTTTTGGTTTGTTTCTTTTTAAGGATAGAGTTGTGTGTTAACCCTATGACTGCTGATTATGGGTAACACAGAATCAAATATTAATAAGTACAGTGTTTTATTTCCCTTTTGACATAAAAATACATTAAACCCAAAGAACTGAGGTACATGATCTCAGAGCTCTATTAATGATAATAAAAGTGTTGATCTCAGTACTAGCACAACTAAAGCTATTTTACTGAATATTTCAAAGCCAACAAAACACACTCAACAACTGCAAATCAGAATTTGTTCCAAGATTCTTTTGTAGAATTAAATCTCGAGTCCAAATCTCTCTCCTGAGCTCCAGACCTGTTTATATACCAGCCTACTGAACATCTCCATCAGCATGTCCCACCGGCACTGGAAACACAGCAACTCTAACATGGAATTGAGATCTTCCTCCACCTCTTGTATTTCCTATTACAATAAGTGGCACCACGAGTTCTAAATCTACTCATTTGTTCAAGCTAGAACCCTGGGTATTAAGTATCTAGTTCTTCCCCCTGGCTCACACAGGCAATTCACCCACCTACATAGAGCTCAGTTTATTTCTTCTCTCTGTCTCCATAGATCGGGTCCTTGTGATTTGCCTAACTACTGCAATGGCCTCCCACACTCCAGTCTCTTCCTCCTTCAATCCTTCCTTCACTCACCACTAGGATGACTGCTCTAAAATGCAAATATGTTGCCATGCCATGTTCAAGTTTTCAATGGCTCCCTATGACCCATATGATAAAGTCTAAAATTCCTGAACATGATAGAGCTCAAAGACCCTTCCAGACCTAATCTGCCATTACTGACACCCCGCCAAACCAAATGTCTCATAGATTTGTCAGTTGTGGTCTTCCTCCTCTGTGTTCATTAGCACCTTATGTACCTCCATCGCAACAAGTGATGCATTTCTTCCTCCTCCATTTTTTCTCTACTAGACTGAGTTCCTGGTGGGCACGGGCTTTATTTGATTCATCTCTGGATTTTTAGAGACTAGCACAGTGCTTGATTTATGGAATAGGCCAACCAACACCATTTGTTTGGGGTTCTTTTAAATTGCTGCTCATTAGCTGAGCCAATATTTGGCCCCTGCACACACTTCTGTTACTTCAGCATCACCCATTTGACCTATCTACTACTCACCATTAGTCCAACTTATCCACAAGTGTAAAGTGACTGACCTGACAGCACCACATTAGGCAAAGTCTACGACTTAAATCAGTCCCTCTGAAATTCCCGAGGTCCCAGTTCTCTGAAATGCTGACTTCTATCACAAAGATGACCAAAGTTTTTGCTTGTTTTCAGGATCTCTATAGTGGATTAATTGGCCCACTGATTGTTTGCCGGAGACACTACACGAAAGTATTCAATCCCATCACAAAACTGGAATTTTCCCTTCTGTTTTTTGTTTTTGATGAAAATGAATCCTGGTACATAGATGACAACATCAAAACATACTCTGAACACCCTGAGAAAGTAAACAAAGACAATGAGGAATTCATAGAAAGCAATAAAATGCATGGTATGAGACATTTATTTCAGCCCTATGTTCCCCCTTTTCTTCTTTCAAATAAAATTAGTTTGGAGACTATTCATTTTATAATAAACCAGTTCTGCCTCACGCTGTATGTGAGGTAGACTTCTGTTCAAAGAAAAACCACCTATTAACTTCTCTCCCCATTCCAAAGTCTCATTCTCTTTTAAATTCACAATTAGGATTACGGCTTTTGGTGCTAAAGGACTAGAAAAGCAGTGTGATCTTATTGACCCTAAAGTATTCATTTCCCTGTCTATAGTGAAATAACTTCCAATACCTCAAAAAGATTCATATATTAACCTAGTAATCATATGCTCAGTGAAACAGCCATTGATTTAAAATATCCTTAAAAGTAATTTAAAAAAAAAATCATGTGATTTCCCCAGCTATTAATGGAAGAATGTTTGGGAACCTGCAAGGCCTCACGATGCACGTGGGAGATGAAGTCAACTGGTATCTGATGGGAATGGGCAACGAAATCGACTTGCACTCGGTACATTTTCATGGCCACAGCTTCAGGTACCAGGTAAGAGTGATCCACGGTCATTATTCTTGCTCTATTGGAAAATGTTTTAATACAAATGAAGAAAATATTTCCTGAGACTCATGAAAAAAAAGTTTCAAGAGACAACTAAATTATTTTCAAAGCGTGTGCCACACAGCAATTTCAGTTGCTGTTACCAACCTTTGTTACAAATTGGGCTCTACATTGGATTTATAGTTTTAGTGGGTTTTCGTGGAATTCTGCTCACATATTGCTGGCCAAGGCATTTGAATAGAATTGTTAGCAGAGAGGTTAGGTATGTTCACATAATGATGGATCAGAGAGTAGAGCCAAGACTTCATTATAAGCTTTACCAGTTCTAACTTCTGAATCTTAAACAGCCTAAAGTGAACAAGTTTATCATTTTGGTGTCGGGCAACTGATCAGTCTCTAGATCTCGACGCTACTTCTGCTTCTCACCCAGTGTCGATTTCAGCAGGAGTCAAAAGCTCTTTTTCTTACCTTTGAGTTAATGTAGAAAATTTAGAAACTACCACAAAGCCCATTGCAGAAAAGGCCATTTTGTTATCTGTATTTGCTTTACGTAGATGTTATATTCTTAGCGGACTTTCAATTCTGTCCTTGCAGAAATACCCCCCAACTACTCTGTGTCTAGTCTAGACTCGACCTGAACTGCCTCTGGTTCTGGCTTCTCCATGGGCCTCCTTTCCTGCCCTGCATTCCCCTCCCTGCCATAAAGTTTCACAGACCAGCTAATCTAGAAGAGCTTCAGCAAAAGTGAGATAGGACCAAAACGAGGCCACAGCTAAATTCCCTTATATAACTCAAGCACTCTGATAAAAGACAAACTGGATTTGAAGTGTTAGAGGGGCCAGGTGGTCCTAATGGATGAATGGACTCTCATCACATCTCCCCTTCACACCCACTTCGTGGCCCCTCCTGCCAGGTATTTAGCAGTACCAAGACCACACACCTCACTGTTTGTTTCGGACACACAAATGTGCGGGGTCTCTCTCTCTCTTTTTTCTTTAACAGATGCATCCACTTTTCCCAATATCCCTGAGCTGGCCAATGAAAGATTATTTGAATGAACTCTCACATATAATAAACATTATATAATATTTGTCATTTTTCTAATTAAGCACAGGGGCATTTATAGCTCTGATGTCTTTGACATTTTCCCTGGGACATACCAAACTCTAGAAATGTTTCCAAGGACACCTGGAATCTGGTTACTCCACTGCCATGTGACTGACCACATTCATGCTGGAATGGAGACTACTTACACGGTTCTACCAAATGAAGGTGAATATCTAGTTAGTAATTCTAGAAGTCACACAGCATGACTATAATTAAGATGCACTACTTTGCCTAAATACTTCCCCCAGTATGAAGCATTCGTGAATTCAACTGCCCTCATTTCTTCCTTTCCTACCTCCAAATAGGAATTTTTTTTTACTGCTAAATGGTGTGGGATACTGCTTAGCCTCCAAAAGCTGGTACTGATAACAGCACCAGAAGTCTCTCAGCTAATACAAATGACACTAATTTAAGGCAGTGCAATTATTCCTAAAACTGATATAAGGGAGTGGTTGTGTCATTTACCAAAAGACTAACAAAAGACACATTTAGAGTTTAATTTCTTTCTTAATAGAAAACATTTAACTTTTTTCTAGGTCTGGTACACAAGAAACTCCTCCCCCCCCAAATCAATATAATTTTAAATAGTCAATCAGCAGAAACAATATCTTTCTCTACTTCTAGGGGTGAGGGGAAGTATTATTGATTATTGTTTGTCAGAGATTGTCTTAGTCCATTCAGGCTGCTCTAACAAAATATCGGACTAGGTAGTTTATAAACAGCATATATTTATTTTCACATTTCTGGAGGCTGTTAACCTGAGATCGGGTTGCCAGCATGGTTGGGTGACAGCCCTTTTCTTGGTTACAGACTTCTCATTTTATCCTTGCATGGTGGAAGGGACAAGCTAGCTCTTTGGGCCTCTTTGACAAGGGCACTAATCCCATTCACAAGGGCTCCACCCTCATGACCCAATCACCTCCCAAAGGCCCTACCAAGTTGCTGTCAACCATGGGCAATAGGTTTTCAACATAGGAATTTGGGGGGACACCAACGTTCAGACTATAGCAAAGATCCAGGAAAAAAAAATTGAATCTAAATTCCATGTTTCCCCCAGCCCAGCAATAATACTCCCTCCTGAAGCACAGGAAACACAGGAGAAGGAACAGCCCTTTCCTGGGTAAATAGTCACAAAATGTGTTCTACAGAGTGAAATCCTGCTGTGTGGTTGCAGGCTTTGGTGTTTCTTGGGTCTTCTGAGTTCAGAATTGTTGGAATTGGCGATGGCCAATCCAACAGGGGGAAATGATGTAGAGAAAACAATGCCTTTGTTTTAAATGTATTTCCTCTTTAAAATGGGCATTAAAGAGGACATATAAGTGGAAGAAAATATAGAAATAAATCTCTCAAAAATTAAAAGTCACTCAAAGATCAACCGTGAGTGCAAACGACAAGTTTTCATTTCTGCTCCCGGGTTTTACACAGACACCTCGTAACGTGAAAAACGGTTCTCTTAAAGCCTTTATTACAAAGAGTGGGACTGGGAGTACCAGAATGCCAAAGACTGGCAGAGGTAAATAAATCGCTGGGTTCAATGCCAGTCACTACGGAACAAGGTGAAGAGTCAAACATGAGAAAGAAAACTGCAGTGTTTAAAGAACATCAGCACACACGTAAGCCACCACACAAAACGATGGATCCTGCTCTGAGGGAGCACGGAGGGAGGCATTCTGGAAATACATGTGTGCAAATGCCTCATGTGCAGAGGATGCGGCTGCAGGCTAATCATGCACACCCAGACACTGTCAAGATTCCTCCTGGGGAATTAGCCTGGAAGGAGAGGGAGAGGATTGCTTGGTTAAGAGAAGGGAGATTGTTCTTAAAGCCTTAGAGAAAACTGTAGAATAAATCGCAAACGGGAAGGGAAAACACACATTGGGGAAAAGATTAAAGAGAAATCGGCTTCTACGAAAGGAAAAGGTATTGTATAGACCGCAAGAAGGGGTAATGAACAAAAAAGATAGCTTGAACTATAAACAGAAAGATGGGGAGCCATGTTTACCAGTCTGAATTATCTTTAAATGAAAGTTTGATAAAGCTTTGGGTAAGTCTACATTAATTCTGAATCTTAGAAAATTTTCTGTCTACTCTGACACAGAAAAGGGAGCACAGAAGGTTAGAGTAAAATTGTTCAATATTATGCACCAGGAGACAGGCAATTTCCACCACAATGAAAAAAATCACTAGAAAATAACTGTAGATATCCTGATATATACTAAATGTAATGCTTCATTTCCCCTACCAGAGGAAGCGTAATAAAGACCTTCTCTGATAAATATAAAAGGTACTTTTTTTTAGACTGTGACATTTCTACTCCAGTCAGATAACATTTTAGGGGGGTCGGGAGGAAAAAAAGCTTGCCTAGCTTTCAGGTACTTTCAGGCAGGGACTGTATATTCTGTATTTCTAGTAACTACCCCAATCCAATCCAATACTCTGCTTGGTAAATATCTAACCACCTGTTAATTCAATGAAAAGGAATTTTTAAACTTTTTTGGACATAATTTCAGACTTACAGAAAAGTTGTGAGAATAGTACAAAAAATTCCCATATACCCTTCACCCAAATTCTCCAACTGTTAACATTTTACATAGCCATATTTGCTTCCTGTTCTCTCTCCTATCTGCCCCCGACCCTCTTCCCTCTCTAACACACATACAATAGTAAATATATATATATAAAGTTATATATAAAGTTAAATAAACATATATAGTAAATATATATTTCCTAAAAATAAGGGTATTGTTATATAGAAACATAATACACCTATCAAAATTAGGAAATTAAAGATGATTCAATACTACAGACCATTTTCAAATTTCACAAATTATTCTAATCACATTCTTCACAGAAAAAGAAAATCCCACTCATACCTTGTGTTCAGTTGGCTTGTCTTCTTAGTCTGGAACAGTTTCTTTGTCTTCTATAACTTTGACTGTTTTTTCAAGATTTACTTATCTATTTGAGAAAGAGAGAGCTGGGGCCGGGAGGAGAGTCAGAGGGAGAAGGAGAGAGAGACTCTCAAGCAGGCTCCCCACTGAGCATGGAGACCGACACGGGGCTTGATCTCATGACCCTGAGATCATGACCTGAGCCAAAATCAAGAGCTGGTCGCTCAATGGACTGAGCCACCCAGGTGCCCCAACTTTGACATTTTTAAAGAATACAGGGCAGCCACTTGTATAATGTCCTTCAATTTGGGTTTCTCTAATGTTTCCTCATAATTAGATTCAGGTTATACATTTTTTGGCAAGATTCTTACAGAAGTGATATCGTTTTTCTCTGTACACATGTCAAGAGGCACAAGATGTTTTTTTTCCCTTACTGATTATGTTAACTTTGAGAGTTTGATTAAGGAGATTTCTGCCAGGTTTCTTTACTATAAAGTTACTATTTTCCCCTTTATAATTAATGAAGATCTTGCAGGGAGCAAAGTAAATTTTCTTTAAATAAAGCAGTACTAAAATGAGACATGTTTTTAAATATATAAAAAAATGGACATTGCTGCCAGGTGTCTATCGACAGATAAATGGATAAAGAAGATGTGATATATATATATATATAATGGAATATTGCTGAGCCATCAAAAAAGAATGAAATCTTGCCAGTAGCAATGATGTGGATGGAACTAGGGGGTATTATGCTAAGCGAGATAAGTTAGTCAGAGAAAGACAGATATCCTATGATTTCACTCGTGTGGAATTTAAGAAACAAAACAGATGAACATAGGGGAAGGGAAGGAAAAATAAAATGGGATGAAATCAGAGGAGACAAACCATAAGAGACTCTTAACTATAGGAAACAAACTGAGGGTGGCTGAAGGAGAGGAGGGTGGGGTAAGTGGTAACTGGGTGATGGGCATTAAGGAGGACACTTGATGTAATGAGCACTGGGTGTTATATGCAACTGATGAATCACTAAACTCTACCTCTGAAACTAATAAAACGCTATATGTTAATGAATTGATTTTAAATAAAAAGAAAACAAAAAAATGGAAAAACAGAAATGAATTAAGAATAATTAAAACAACTAATATTAAAAAATGAGAATACATTTAAACCATATGACATATAGAGTAGTCACCCCACTTATCCATAGGGGATATGTTCCAAGATCCCCAGTGGATGCTTGAAACCGTGGATAGTGCTGAACCTATATATACTATTTTTTTCCTGTACATACATACCTATGATAAAGTCTCATTTATAAATTAGGCACAGTAAAAGATTAACAACAATAACAAAACAGAATAATTTTAATAATATACTGTGATAAAAGTTACATGAATGTGGTCTCTCTCTCTCTCTCAAAACATCTCATCCTGATCCTTCAGGATATAGTGATCCTTCTTGTTCTTGTTATGGTGTGAGATGATAAGACGCCGACATGATAAGATGAAATGAAGTGAATGACGTAGGCATTGTGACACAGCATTAAGCTACTATTGATCTGAGGAACACCTGCCCCTGGACTACATTGACCATGGGTAACTGAAGCCGTGGATAAGGGGGGACCACTGTATTGTTTATAATGGTCTTAAAATTTCTTTTTCTATAGAGACCAAGTCTGGCTGAAAGAAATAAATTGGTGATAAGTGGAAAAAAAAAAGAAAAAAACAATGATTCATAACAATGTACGTGAAAGTGCTGAAGAAAAAGTTTACTTTGGAATGGCTATAAGCATAAAAAAAAAGACTGAAAACATACACTTTCATGTATTTGTGGCGGAAACTGTTACTTTGTTTCATATGAAAAGATCAACAGACACATGACTGACTCTAATACAATTATTATTGATTTACATAAGTCCTTCATATCACCACCAGGACTTTATAAAACTGTATTCTCCACCCCCACCCCCAAAATCTGTGACCAGATGTTGTCCTTGATGGTTCTTCAAAGATTGCTATTAAGATTCATTGAAATGTTTTCAACCATTGGCTTCCCATCAATCCCTTTAACATGGTGCTGATATCATTCTTAATGAATCAGCGGACATGAGGGCATAGGTGTAGAGAAAGTAAAAAATTATTTTAAAATAATAATAAATTAAAAATTAAATTTTTTAAATAAAATAAATTTTTAAAATGAAATAAAACAAGGTAAAATAAAAAATTAAAATAATGCCAATCTATCTGGATTTTGTGAACCCTTGAAGAGATGGTCAAAAGGAGAATAATCTGGAACTGAAGAAAGGCAAAATTGACAAACAATTGTACAGCTTAAATCCTGGTAAAGATGAACACTAACACCAGGAGAAAAGTTTCAAAATACAGTTGTGGCAGATGCTGGGTGAGTAGCTTTTGGCCAGTCTTAAGTAAAGTCAAAGCACACTATCAATGAGCTGAACTTGGACTCAAAATTGTTTAATAAGAGGCTGAAAAAGAAGACACAATTGTGAATACAATGATATATTTCTTTATTTTCACATATACTCTAGCTAAAAGAGCAAAAGTACACCAATAAAAAAAACAGAAACAAGGCTTTGGCTGAAAAACATGCATCCAACAAATTATGTTAATGGCCAGACAAGAAGACAACTAACTTTGTAAATTTCTACTTCATTGATTCAGGGAGAAACCACAGCATGAGTTTTAAAAGTAACAAAAAAGTAAAATTTGAAATCTTACTGTGGGAAAACATTAACCTCTTTCTCAAAGAAAACTATTCAAGAAGAAGGAGGAGAAGGAGGAGAAGAGACCTAATTGAGAAATCTGGAAAAATCAAGAAGACTAAATTTGGGACCACTTGGAGTGACATTCTTTCAAACATACCCACCAAATGTTTCTTTGTGTTTCTGGCGTGAAAAAGATTGTCACTTCTCTAACAACACTGATTTGATGTTCCTTGGAATAAAAGTCAGTGTCTACTTCTAAAAACATATGCCTTCTTTGAGAAAATTCTTAAGTTTTGTAGCTTTTTTTTTTTTACATTCTGGATGCAGGTCATAAAGTACCAAACTAATAATACCACTTCATGGTAACATAAGCAGCCTGAAAGCATCTGCAACCAATGTACATATTCGATATGAAAATCCTTTATTTACATTTTTACTAGACATTCAGTTGTTTTTAAAAGTCAGTCTTCCATGGCATTGTGGTATTTTTCAAATGATACCTTCAAGTCAATGATTTTTTCTTTCGACTGCAATAAAGAAGATATGGCAAGAAAAATGCTGCAGTGCCATCTTCTGGGAGGACATTCAGGAAATCCCTCAGTTCTAGCTCCACCGCAACAACTGACAACGTTTCTGTTGGTAGGACAGTATCTGAGTTAGAACTGCAAGCCTGTCTTTCATTCAATTTTCTTATCACTCAACCAATTGGAAGCGAGGTCAGGCAACAAAATGTTATAACTACAACAGGAAGAAAAAAAAGATTGGTCTTTCAAATTCACAGACTACTTCTTATTCATTCTTTCTAAAATGCTCTGAATTTTATTTTATATTAGATCCATGCAATTTTGATTTACTGCTTCATTGCATTATTTTTCAACATGCTTTTATTAGCCTCTAAAGAAAACTAAAATAATTTGGACACTGTCTTTAATGTTAGGGCTACACTGCAGCTAATTTATAAAGATTGCTGGGACAGGAGACACTACTAATTGATGGATGACATTTTCCTAAATCAGCTCCTCTCTACTATGAGATTTCATGACCATTTTTTTCAAACTGTAAAATAAGGTACTCTCGTGTACATCCTCAATTACTAAGGGATTTAGGAAACATTTTTATAATTTTAATGATTCCACTGCTTCTTGATACATACATGCTGCCCTCTGCTGGGAAGAGAGGGGGTGACACTTAAGAACAGTGTTGGCAATAAACACCAGCGCCATTCCCTGTGTGATCCTCACCTGCCCACCACTTACTCTATCTGCAGAGTGACCAAAATATAAAATCTCTTGCTCAGATGTGTGTGCATCCATCCAAAGTCATCTCTCTAATATTCAGCAACCTAAAGCATCCCTTACACAAAACATGCCCATGTTGCTAAAAAGTTAATGAATGGGTCAGCTGTGATGTATGAGAAAGATCCCGAACTCTGGAATCAGACAGATTCTGTGACTTTAAGAAAGTCACTTAAGAGTCCCAGTTTCTTCAACTATAATGAGGGGGTACCAACTGCTAGCTTCTAGAGTCCTTTGAGAATTAAATAAAATACAATGATGCATATCTAAAATATTAATAGAAACAATAAACAATGACTACTAAATAGTTTGCAAAACTCGTATGAAAAACATGAATTATCAATACTTCCCTATCAAACCAGTTTATTCTTAGCCTAAATGTGGAGTCTATAAATAGTATCATAAGTTTAAAAAAACTGAGTTGGGGGCCAGTATTGAGGTTATAGAGGCAACAAAAATCTTGCCACTGCCCAATCCTCCTCTTCTGCCAACCAGTGAGGGGCTAATATAGGTTATAACTCCAAGAATAAGGTCAATATCTTAAATCTGTAGAGGACTTTAAATCCTCCAGTGTGTCTAGAAAATATTCATCAGATGATTAAAAATAGTTATGTCTGGCTGATGGGATTTTAAATGACTTTCTAAACTTCATTTTTGTAATTTACTACAGTAGTAACATTTTTAATAATAAA